CCAGATTGGAATCCGTCAAAATTTTACGCCGGAGGTTACGCCAAGTGGACACCGACTAACTACGCCACATCCGGAAATATTCTACGATTTTTAATGCAAACGGAAATGGCCGCAAAATATCACCTGACTAGCCAGGAGTTTGACTAATGGTCGCGGGTAAAGAGTCGCGTGTCGCGGGTAAAATGTCGCGGGTCGCGGGTAAAAAGTCGCGGGTCATAAAAAAGCTCCAAACCGTGGATTTTATTGAGTCGCGGGTTGAATAAAGTGTGTAAAAATCACGTTATCATTTACTAAACAACTATATATAGGATTGCTTCAATACGAAACATTGCCCAAGAGCCTTTTGTCATGATTTAATGGTTCTATATAAAAGTGCCAGAAGCCTAAAACCTGAAAGAATAATTTCAATAAATGTTAAACCAACAATTATACCATGACAAAAATCCTCTAATCAAAAAATATGTTCTGAAAGACACAAACAAGACTTTGGTAGAAATAAATTCAGTTTACCACTACTATTACAATCAGTTTTATACCAATTTAAAAACAACCATATAGTATCACAAATAATAGATATATCCATGCTAGGACATTATAAAAATACATTATGATTAACCAACAACCCGGATATTTAAGTCGCTGTTCTCTAACACTTGTTTCCGGAAAGTACTGATCGATGCGCAGAGGCTTGAAGACAACGCGCACTGAGCCACTGAATAGCGGATTTTTACACCTGATATGGTCAGAAATATTGGATGGTAATATGTATTACTAAAATCAGGACTATAAACATAGGAATGTGTAACAAGATCCTTTTGCACTATGCGTCTATCAACGTGCTTTACGATAATGTTATGTGGTTCTTGTCTATATTTATCTACAAACTCGCAATTGCAGCCATACTGACATCTTCGAACATTCGTTGGTAATATAATAAGTTCGTAGTGGTATAAAGTAAAGGGTGGTTTTAATTCAGAAAGTACGTAACATAACACCAGTCGTTCTGTGGTATGACAACAACTAGGATAAACATTTAATAACGTATTACACAACGCAATTGCAAATATTATAATTGTAAATGCAAATTCGTCCGAATTAAAAAGGCAGAAATGAAAAGAACGCATTCTTCGTGTACAGACATTATAAATGTAACGTAAAAACATAGGATGCATATGATAGGATATCGAAGATTATTGGAGTGTTAAATGACCCTCGAAATGATCACTGTATGCATATAGCCTTGATCTTTCAAAATTGTTGTCTACTACCTGGCACGAGTTAATCCTGCAAGGCCAGGATCTTGTTCTCTCTGTAATACCCCCTTCACTGGGGGAGGTTTTATAGAGAAAATACTATGGTACGTATAGACAAAAAATGATCCAACAATATACATGGCATATATACGTTAATATTGAATAATACTGTTGATAAAAACCATTAAATAACTAAATGATGTGAGTTTTACACATTTTATTCAACCCGCGACTCAGTAAAATACACGGTTTGGAGCTTTTTTACGACCCGCGACCCGCGTCTTTTTACACGCGACCCGCGACCATTTAGTCGAACTCACTAGCCAGTAACAATAACTTAAATCCAAGTCAGTTGAAGAGTATACCATTTCAAATAAATATTCAAAAAGCTCAAGACCTTAAAATATTGCATAGTACCTGTAAATATAATCAGTTTCCCAAGTATCAAGATGTATAAATAAACAATTTGGTACTATTTTTCATCGGAAGATTCTTCAATCTTCATAATTTACGAATTTTACGGCGTTTTACGCCCCGCCGATGATCAGGTGATCATTCATTTGCTCCGCACGCCCGCCGATGGCGTAAAAGATCAATAACATTTTACGCCGGAGATATCCAGCGTAACACCTACGGATTCCAACCTGGCCTTGCTATATAAACCAACTCAGCCTGCTAATATATTTCCCTTGGGTCCCAGTAAATAAGTATTAATTGTTTATTTGTTGGTACTAAAACAACCTAACTTAACTTTTGTTAACTTGTTGGTATCTTATTACTGTTGTTTACTCGATTGTACTAGCTATAGTTAATGGCTAGAGGCCCAATAAGCCTCGTTTTTCGAGCTGTATTGTATTGTATTGTACTTGGTATATTTTAATATATTGGTAAAAATGTATACCTTCACGATTTCATCTTTCTTTTCCTGTTTAATCTGACTTAAGCGTTCATTTTTCTTCCTTTTTTTAATATTTTTGAATGCGGACGTATCAACACTGCCTGCACTGGAACTGCTTCCACCGGCTTCACTCTTCTTCTCTAAGTACTCTTTAAAACTTAGCGGTTGCTGACTAGTTGAGGACGAAGGCGAAGATTTATTCTCTGACACACTTGCTCCACAACTCTTGCAAAAATTTGCATTTTTGTCTTTCTCTTGCCCACAATGCGAACAAAACATCTTCGTCAGTTTAATTAAATGGAAATATATTTCTAATTTTTTATCTGATAAAAATTGATCGCCCGCATTCGTTTTGTTCGTTACCAGTTGATACGTCATGTAACGATGAATGTTCTAAAGTTTGAGTTTTGTATGCGTGCATTGAGTTTTGTGTGCGTGTATTGAGTTTTGTATGCGTGTATTGAGTTTTGTATGCGTGTACTGACTTTTGTATGCGTGTATTTGGTTTTGTATTTGTGTATTTGG